AGAGAGAGAGAAAAAAGAAGAGCCAGGATAAAGGAAAGTCGACCTTGTAACCCCGAAGCACAAAAACCTACTCCCTAAAACCAGACAGCAAAAAAAAAAAAACGGAGAATAAAGAAAAGCCGTTTTCACTCTCTAGGCTCACGTAACAGTCGACGCAAGTCGAACACTGACACCCGATACCCCCCGCCCGCCCCAAACGTACGTAATACGAAAATAGAAACCGGAACTCAAAACCGAGGAATAAAAACGGGCAAAGCCCCAGTCAAAACTCCCCTCCTCAATGTCACGCTAAAAAGCAAACAAGAGAAGGAAAACTAATTCGCACGAAGAAGTCATGGCAAGTTGTTCCGGTAAAAAGTATGTCTAACAACCCCCCCCCCCCCCCTCCCTCTTCGCTTTTTAGGTAAATAGACCAGCACGTAACAGCGAATAGGAATACTAATAATAGGGAGAAAATAAAATAGTGCATAAGTAAAATACTAGCGAAACTGGATGTTCCGCTTCCTTTTCGCTTATGGGACCCAACCCCCCCCCCCTCCTTTCCCTTTAAATCACACAAAAAAAAAAAAAAAAAAGACCCGGGGGGGGGGGGGGGGGGGCGACAGGTCGAGTGACCTTGAAATCGGGCGGCGGGAAGAATAAGAGGGAGAGGAGGTAGCCCTTAGCAGACGAGGAAGCCGATGCGGTAAACTGACAGCGCCGAAGGAAAAAGTTCTCGCTTTTTTCGTTTTGTTTCTTTTGCTCGCGGCGGCGGCGGTGGTGGCGGCGGTCGGTGGCGCCCCAAGCGGTCGCCCGGCGAAGCAGTTTCGGCGTTCGCCTCCTCCCTTTTTTGGTAGGTTGGTCAGTAGGTTAGTCGGTCCCCTCCGAATCTCGGCCGGAAAATATGGCGATGGGCCTCGTAACGACGCTTTTCCGCCTTGCCTGGCCGTCCTCCCCGTCATCGCGTTCGGTGTTACGGGACCGAATGGGAACGTTACCGGTTACGACTGCTGCCGGCCCCGTCTTTCGCTGTCGTGTTTGAACAGTCCTGCGCGGATGTCCGCTTTTGCTTATTGCAAGGAACAAACTGCCACGAACGGATTCATGCTGGCTGTAGTTTCTTACAAAAGACTGCGACTTTGAGCCGCTGCTACGCATTTTCTCCCAGTCGTCTGCTCAGCGATAGACTCGGCGGCAGTTTCAGTAATCTAAAGCTTTCCGTTTCCCAGCTTGCCTAACGTTCTCCAGTTCGCCTTTCAGTCCGCTTAATATCTCCCAGGTAGTTCTCTTTTTTTTTTTTTTCAGTTCGTTTTTTTTTTGTTGTTGTTGTTGTTGTTGTTGCTGGCATAACTGTTTCCAGCTAGCCAAAGCTTTCCAATCAGCTGAACGTATTCCAATTAGCTTTCCACTGGGATTAGCGCCGTCCTGTAAGCTAAGGCTTTCAAGCAGCATTAACTTTCTCCAAGTGAGCTTAGAACGTTTTCGTGCTAAGCCTAACGCTTTCAGGCCGGCTTACCAGTTTCCAGCTAGCTCAACAATTTCCGGTTAACCAGCAAACGGTGAAACGAAATACACAGATTGTGAAAACGATCCAGCTAAACAGAGTACACGGATGCGACCTATGTTGCCTAAACATTTTTTTGTTTGTAAAAGTGGAGGGTTCGCCCAAGTTGGGAAGGTTCGTCTGGCTGTCGTCATTTTTGTTAGTTGAGGGGGTATCCTTTTGTCCTGTTCCGGTTGCTCCTTTTTGCGTGATGTGTCCTAGCAAAAGGCAAGTTGTGTGCTTGGTGGCTTTTCTGGCTCCGTGTATATAAGGAAGTGGGACTAAATAAATCTTTCAGCTGAGCCTTGAGACGTCTCTTCTTCCCTGTTTCTGTCTCTTCTACGTTTAACTTTCTATTCCACACTCGAGTCTCGGGTTAAGTTGCCACATTTACCATGTTGCAACTTAAACCGAGACTGGGCCATGAAATAGTATGAAATTCACTAACTCTTCTGTACTTTAGGTGTTTTTTTCAATTAATTTTACCCAATCATAGGCGGCAAATCTCGATCGAGATTTGCCGCCTATGATTGGTTCGATTCGTTACGATCGCATCCAAGTAAACGCAGACAACGAGGCCCACTGGGAACTGCAAAGCGGAAGTGCTGACGCGTCAGTACCGACGCGCGTCACCGTCCCAAATATCGGGGGTGGAACTTTTGGACGGGGAAACGTCGAGGCTCAGCGGATGATGGCGAGTCTCCGGGCTTCACGCCGCCGCGGCGTGTGACCCACTTGGGCCCGTACCAGGGTCACTCCGCAGCAAACAGAAAAGAAAGAAGACGCATCTCATCTGGAAGCGACGACGCGCTGGTTCGTTACATTTCGGAGGCATCGTAACCGATACTCCGTCACCGCCTTTGCGCATGCATCGTTATCGGGGGTATCGAAACGATCTACTCAACTCTTCACTGTTAAGGCCTGGTTCGCACACTTTTGCGTTTGACTGTGCTCTAGTGCGACGCTGGTGGCATCTATCGGCTAGCCCTGCCCGACCTCTGCGCAACTAGACTCAATGCTTTCTGCTGTTTGCGAAATCAAAATCTACACGCTATCTATGAAAAGTGATCGCCTATTACGGGGGGCGAGAGCACTATGCGTAAAAAAAAGATACATTTAGCAGAATATCTACGTGACAGAAAACGCAGGGCCGGGCTGAAAATAACGCCGCACTCATGCACAGAGGTCGCTTCCAGCCCGTTATTCGAGCTTTCTCCTCCTGCTGCCAGGTGCGTAGTTCCGTAATCCACTTTAAAGCAGCGACAACCAGTGTTCAGTTACAAACCAGAAATCTGTTCCCTCCACCGAGCCGCTTAAAAAGGATCCACATCGGCTAAAGCCCTTATTCTTTTTTCCTTTTTATTGTCTCGGTAACCAAGATTAAGCCTGAAGACACGGGCGCAATTTCGGTTACCGGCGCACTTTTAGCGCGCCACTAACCGGATTCCAGCGTGTTCCGCTGGCTGCCCCCGTTTCAGGCATGATTGCCCTCGTACCGGATGCGGAAGTCAACGAAAGCCGCCCTCAGAGTGCCGGTAGCGACAGCGCACCCGGGGAACAGAAACGGAAGTGGCGCTGACTCGGGGTTGTCAGACGAGGTTCTTTAAATCACGCAGCTCTCGGCTAAAATACGGTCACGAACGTCCGACGCCCGTAACGGCGTTTCCGTCGTCGACGCTGGGAGCGACCGCAGCGACACGCATCGGCCGACGAAGAAAATTAGCCTAGCGGAGAAGGTGGGAATCTAGAAATTGCCGCCCATAACATCACCCATATGTTTACGTTACTGGCAGGATGGAGACATCGAGATATAGATGGAGCTATTTTCTATGCAATTTGGCTCGAATTACGTAAAAATTAGGTTCAATGACCCTTTCGTTTTGATTTTTTTGCGAAGCAACCGAGTTTACAGTGCTTATCACACGAGCAAAAAAATGCCGAGTCACCGAACTGCGGACGGATAAGTGATATCTCAGGAGAAGCTGATTATTCGAATTGACTATAAAACGCAAGGGAAACCTACCACACGATGCAGTCGAAAGTGGGAGCCGATGGGAGAATCAAACCGTCAAAAGCGCACCAAAATGATGTTGTATCCTCACTGAACCAATCCTGTGCAAGAATAAGAAAGAAATGTGCGTTTCTGAAGCCGTTTGATTACACCCACCTCCTTTTAGCGTGAAACAAAGCATATTCAATATTCTAAGGATTCCAACGTAAAAATAAATCGCAAATAATTAAAATAATTACTGTATTATATATTGTGTGGGCCTTTCGTCATGACTCTTTATGTACAAATAGAATATCGTGGAGATTAGGCTACGTTCTCACGTTGATTGCAGCCAGTCCTGCACATATCGGAAAAATAAGGCTATTTATCGGCGGAATTCTGGTAGCCAAGTGCGACGAAAAGGCCACCGAAATAGAGAGCTTCTCCGGGCTAGTCGACACGCGCGAGCCAAGTGCCAAAAAACGCCAGAAAACGATGACCCCTGGAACAAATATAAGAACGGCGATGGAGGGGGTGAGTGTCTTAAAATGGCGTCTCACCCGTAACCTTCCTCGACGACCCACCTCGGCTCCCGCATTTTTCTTGTCGCCCGTTTGACACTCCCGCCGCCATTTTCGCTTACCGTCCTTCCTTTTTTTCTTTATATTTCCGTTATTGTTTGCCTGGATTCCGAAAGTGCCGTTAGCAGACGACGCAAACGAGCAACGGAAGCGGAGCCGGGCGAGGGAGCAGACGACCAAGAAACCGAAACGGAGTACCGACCGGCGGCGCGTTAGCAGACGACGAAAATGGGTCCAAAGTAGCAGACGAACGGCGGAATTTCGCGGCTGGAGTTTCAGGCGTCCTTATTTGGAAGTAGGTCACGTGCCCCGTTCGGAGCTCCTAGCCGCGTGACGACAAACAACAAACCATTAGGCGCTTTTCTTTTTTTTTTCATGCTTTCTCTGTGATGTTTTTGCACCAAATGAACAAGCTAGAGCTGGATAATGTCTAACAATAGCGACATACTTTTGTTTTTGTCGCTCGTTCAATTGTTTTGAGCGGAAATACTCCATGTGTTCTTTAGTAACAATCCTGCTAATCAAAAAAACAAAAATTACCCTTTTTTTTATGATGTGCAGCCTGTTCCGAACTGCGGGTTATTTATTTACGAGATCTTCAAAGTTCGAGTGTTACTCTAAATTTAGCGTAACAATCAGGGTTCCTGCTAAACTTAGAGGGACGTATGAGTACTAAACGTAGCGTGTTACACCTTTCCGTCACACTTTTCTCCCATAAGAGAAAGTTGTTGCAATGTCCCGCTTATCCAAACGCTCTCACTTCTCAACCCCACCAGGTTACGGATAAACTAAGTTTAGCGAGACGTCGCGCCATTGGATACCAATGGTGAACCGGTGGCTTCGAGCCCTTAGGAAAGAAAGCGCGCGCAAAGCTACACGAAACCGCATAAGAATGCTCGCAACTTACATGTGGGCGGCCTGTTGGTGTAGTGTTGCGGTGCATGGGGCGCCACTCCAGTCTGGCAGTAAGGGGGGATGTAGCCCAGTCCACTCGGGCTTGGAGATTCGGGGGTCAGGGGAGGTGGTACTGCGCACACACACACATGCACCAATCAGTCCACGAGCAAAGAGCAGCTCGTACACTACGCGACACTGGTAGGGCAAACAAGCAATACACTTTTTTTCTTCTTCTTCTTGGAATTAAAGAGGTGTCGTAAAAATTAGTATAGGGGTGAAAAATGCATCTTTGGGCCACTAAAGTAAGCGGTAAAATTTTATGTCCACCAAAAGCCTTTCGATAAGACATGCAAAAACGTGCCGATGCCGTTCGTACATGATAACAGTATCGAGCAATGCACATCACTACTTGCACTGATTCCCCCCCCCCCCCCCCCCCCCACCCTCCCCCCAAAGGTGAATACAGTGATCAATGCTCCAAACATGAAAAGACCCCATTCAAAAGTGCACGCCCTCCAGTGGCAGCTGCGCCGATTTATCGAGGCGCAGGAAAGATTGCCCGAAATATGGAGGTCGCCAGTGTTGACTGATGAAAAAAAAAACTGGGATAAGGCATCGAGATGATCTGTCAGGCAGAGAAGTAGCCCCCTTTGCAGCTGCCAGGCGGTGCCAACAAGCGGGATGTCTGCCACACTTGCTAGGTGGCGCAAGTTGCCGCCCGATTAAGTGGGAGATCAGCCGCACCCATCCAATTCGAACTAGTTCATTTTATCACCGCCAGGCGGTACTTAGACCATCTTTACCAGACTTGATAGGTGGCGCAAGCAGTCGCCCAATTCACACGGGCCAGCCGCATTTATTTATCCATCCATTTGTTACAGATTGTACGGAGAGGTGCCCGAAGGTGGTGGAAGCATCGCATCAAAGTCTCAAAAAAACAATCTTACAAAAAAAAAAAAAAAAAAAAAATCAATAACGGCGTTTTTTTTATTGAGACAAGTTTGTTTTTGGAAATTTCGATGCGATGCTTCCACCACGTTCGGCCGCCTCTGCGGTAGATCGTAGCGCGATTAATTTACCGAGCCGACTTATCCGGTCCCTCGGAAAGCTTCACCGGATTCGTGGCCAAGCTGTACATTTTCACGAGGCAAACTAGGAGGGAAACCAAAGTGGGTACTCACCCGGCGTGCTTTGTAACCGCGCCTTGGACTCGTCGTTGCTGAGGGTGCCGCTGCTGCTGTCGACGTCGGAGACGCCGCTGTCGGCGGGGCTCGGGGGAAGCGAACCTGCGCACCGAAGGGGCACACCACCCTCAGACCGCCAGTTCCTCACGTACAAAGCCACCTCGTCTGCATGGCGGAGGAGAGAGCACAACAGGAGACACGGTTGGAGCTCCGGCACGCAGTAAGTCCTCCGCAGGCCGGTTAGACCCACCCCGCCTGGAACGCGTCTGCCGACCGGTGCGTTTAGCGTCCCATACATCCAAAGCGCTGTGGCAACAAATGACGTCATAAAAGTCGGGCTGCCGTGCTGTCGGAGGTAGCGATCCTGGGTTCGGAAGTAAAAGTCCCGGAATAAAGGAGAGCACGCGAGTGTCGCTGCCGCGGCCAAACTCCTGGCTGCCGAAGCTTTCGTGGGCTGCCAAGCTGGACAGCGAGTTGCAGCAGCAGAACAGGCGCCTGCCGTATCCAGCACGGCTGTTGGGACACCGCCAGGGTCGCGGCCGCCGACACCTCTACGACGTCGTCAGGCGGAAGTCGAGGAACCACTTTTTTTTAGGAGATAAACACACCAGTCGGAGACGCGTTCCGGGTGACAAGGCCGTGGTACGTCGACCGTCTCCTGCCATATGATGGGCACAAAGTGGAGCCGAGAGCTGCGTCGTCAAAGTTCGGCTGCGACTCGGTGTCCAATCAGCGAGAAGACGTGTTTCAGCCAAACGCTGGCGCAGCGCTCGGGTCGACCTGTGCCCCTTACTGGGCTCCCCCTACAGCCCCACTGTACTACAGCCTAACGGTAACCTACGGACCATGACGTCTAAGCGAGGGCCAGTTAGAAACCACGTGGTTTCAAACTGGCCCGTGATTGGACGTCATGATCCGTAGGTTAGGCTGTAGTCCATGTGAGGGAGTGGGGGGAGAAGGGCAACAAGTCGTTAATACAATGCTAGCTCACTAGCGGACCCAAATTCGTTTTTGCTTAGAGTCAGCTAAACTGTTACCGTTGGTTCGCGTTTGCTCCAATACCAACTAGAAGACAAGGACGGCGCCTTGTTTTCCGGGTTTAGTTGCTCACGCTCCAAACACTGGCTAGATGGCGCAGACCGCCGTCCGATTCAAAAGGGTTCAGTCGTCCATCGAACGAGTCACGAGAGAGGGGAAGCACTGCTCACAGTGGTGACAAGAGGACCAGTCCCAGAGCGGCCTTGCTTCCCCGAAGTCCGCAGCCGCGGGCATCCCGGGCCGCTTACCTGAGCTGCTGCACGTGACGGCCGGGTTGCAGAGGCTCGACAGCGCCGAGTAGGTCGGGTGCTGGTGCTGCAGGATGTTCTGCAGCAGCGTCTTGGAGTCCCGGTTGGGGCTGCAGCGCTGCAGCGTCCGCTCGCACCGCGACAGCAGGCTCGGACGAACGTCCTGGGGACTCGTGTCCACTGGGGAAGAACAGAACAGGGCGGCTTGAGTCTCCCATGCTTGTACGGAACAGTAAGAACAGCTTATGTGGAGGCCAAACTTCGCATTCACACCGTTACTGCACGAGCACTGGTCTATAATACTTAGTTTGTGACAGGTTGATAGCAAAGCCTCCCACCTCTTTCCACTTTAGCAGAGCGAACGCTGGAGGGGAGGCGACCACCTCTCCAGCGTTCGCTCTGCTCGCTCTGCTAAAATGGGAAGAGGTGGGAGGAGCTTTCCCTGGACCTCTCCAAGACAGACGACCAATTTGCGCTTTCCACTTTTCCCCCACTCCCCCTTACAAACTGTCCACCGTTGTCTGTCTCCTCCTCGCCCATGGTGAGGATGATTTTCTGCCTCACAGAATCTCGATTCTAGTCGTCGGCCCTAAACCGGTCACCGACTACAGGTATAAGCAGCAAGCATAAGCATCAACGCGAGGGGCCGTCTGCTATCGATATGTGTACTACCGTAGTCAAAGTGCATGAGCAAAAGAAGCCGCTGCTTACGCTGTGCTTTGCCAATGCGCACGTGCAGTGCGACCGTCCTATCACCCGTTCTGTTTCCCTCTTACAAATGTAATGTAATGTCGTTCAAAAACTACTAGCACGATTGATTGTCGAAACTAACTTAGGTTGCAAATGTCTCTTCTCTGTCACTACCACGTCTTAGAGGGGGAATGGGGGTGGATAGCGCCGACGTCCATGTTTGTGCTAACGCCGTGGCGCAGCGGCGTAAAACAACAGGCGATATTCATGGCCAAGGCTACGGAATACAAACCGGAGTGTTTGTGTGCCCTATCTCGGCAAAGGGTAACGCGGCAGACAACGCAAACACCCGATTCTCGGTAAAAGTTTCGTTTAATCGTGTCACCTGTTCCGGGTTGTGATAAACGCGTTCTTATTTTTGTTGGTTTGGCGCGTGTTGTTTATTTTACCGCTCGTTAAAACGAGAACGGTGTTCGGAAACCGCCATCAAAACAGCGATAAAACGACTTCGACAGCAAACACCAAAACTTTCCGAACGATTGTTCTACGCTTCTAGGGGGCAACACTGACTTATTTACCAGACACAAGTTTAACCGTTTTTTTTTCCCCGACTGTGTTTAAACAATCAAAATTCCTCTCCCCAGTTCGCCGTTGACTCGAATGATTCAACCGATCAAAAAGCAAGAAAACGTAAAATCCTAGGGTTAAATAAATGTTGGCTCGCAAAGCCAGGCGCATTCCTCGTTGTCAAAAGGAATTGCGACACGCTGGTGCAATAACACCGGGATTTCGGTTGCGTACGTCAAAAGATCCCCAGGTGGTCGAAATTAATTCTCAGTCCTCCGCTGGGGCGTGCCAGCCGAGGACTGAGGAAATCCCTCACTGAGGAAATCCCTTGGCTGCTTTGATACAAAGTACCATATGCCTTAACTCCTTTATTCTCTGACTGGTTATATATATATATTAGGAATAGAATATCATGAAAGGTCACCTTTCTTGCTAACTGTTGTGAAAAAAAAAAGAAGTGGTATTGCGAGAGAGAAAAAAGCTTTACTAGCAAAATCCATTTGAATGAAAGCTTCTTTCATTCGCATAGCGGTCGCCAGTAAAGCATTTCGCCCTCTCAGAAATCAACTCTTGCTGTAGCTGTTAGTATCCCTTCCCGGCAAGCAAATGCTCATGTACGAACGCAAAAGCGTTCGTACATAGCGCCGAGTTATTCTTAGCTTCAATACTGCAAAGAGTATGTTGTCGGTTTACCCAGCACTGTGAAGGCCATGAATAACGCAACGCTATTGCATTCGAACTGCTATTCCACCACCCCTAAATAATAGTACTAATAATCTAAAAAAAAGAAAAAAATCTCCATAAACGAAATGACGACAGCAAGTTTTTAAAGACAAGGCATTTCGTAGCCCAAACCACAAACAGCAATAAGGCCGCAACGAACCACGGAAAAACCGCTCTCGGCGTCAAGCCTTCCAGCGGGTTGGCTCCACGTGACGTCACAACGCCCCTACCCGATAATAATAATAAAGAAAAGAACGCACTACTCGTAAATTTCGGCCGACTACGGGAGGCAGAGGGGTGAGGCTGGGCGACCGGAAGTCCGTCAAGTGGGAGGGGGGAACCCGATGCAACGCTCGCGCCGGTTTCTTGGTCACTTCCGGTTGGGGCCGCTACTGCGCTCAGCCGAGTTTGTGAGAACGTGGAAGCGAAAAGAACAAAAACAACAAGCGTGAACCAGCCGGGAACCTGTTTCTGGAGACCCCCCGAAATCGAGGAGGCACGCACGGCCCGGTTGAGCCGAGACATGGGACAGGTGGGTGTTTTTTTCTTTAGCATCGCATTCGGCGGCGCAATATCGGCACGCGGTTGGGGTGTTTTTATGATGATTCTAGAGAGCGAGAGAGAAAGTTCGGATAACGAGAAAAACCCAAAGATGAGTTTTGTGTTGATTTTATGCGAGGGATCGGTTATTTAATCTCCCCCCCCCCCCCCCCCTTTCCACATACACACTCTTGCAGGCGTCCACAACGCCAGTTTTTGTTGCGACAATATTAGGCTTAGGTGGACGTCGGCTCATGGAGAAATGTCGTCTGTCTCTTTTGATCCGGGTAACGTCATGTTCTCAAGCTTTCCGCGCTCTATTTCAACCGCTAGCGTCAAATTCTCACGGAGTGTAAGCTTCTCGCGATGCGCAGTTTATTACCGCGAGCACAAAAACACTTTTTTTTTTTTTTTTTTTTTTACCGGACACCCGGTACATAATTTGTACGACAACGATGACTCAGCGTTTGAGGAAGCCGCGAGCTTTGTGAAAGCGATTTGAGTCAGCTCGAGGGAAATGCTTTCGAATAGTCAATAAAACATTCCACGCACTGCTTTTTTTTCCTCGTTTTTGCTTCTGGGGAAGGAAATAAGAAACGTTTAAAAAGCTCCTCGTTAAGCATTCCCCTTTGGTAAAACAACAAGCGACTTCCAAAGCCCTTTTTACGGAGATGTACAAAAAAACCCGGTATCAACATTCTCGCAAATGACGTGCGCCAGAAAACACGCCTGGCGGAAGATCCTGCTCTATCCTACGACGTCATGGAAACTGATGTAGGATATGGGCGAGATATTCTCGCAGAATAAAGCAAATGGCCCCACAAGCGGAAAAGCCGAGACCCAACTTCAACGAAACATGCAAAACCAACGATAAACAAACGAGAGAGAAAAAATAATAAAGCAGACGACGCGTTGGTGTGAGGGAGACCGTTCCAACGACGACGTTCGCTATAAAAGCCAATAGCAAACGACATAAAAAGAAAAGGCCAAACTTTCGCAACGCAGCTAAATAGATAAAGACATAAAATAAGTCAGCGGAGATTCCGATGAAGAAACCGATTACACGGGATTAAACATACATCCAGATTAGTGTCCCGGTGGAAAATACCACCCCGGCAAACAGAAAAAAAACTAATAATTAAAAAAAAAAAAAAAACACTGAATGGAGTTTAAAAGCTGGCAATGGTAAACAACACTGAATGGCATTTACCATTTGGTAATGGTAAAGAACACTGCATGCTGCACGCCATTTGGTAATGGTAAAAAAAAAAAAAAATACGGAGTGGAGTTTACTTTATGGTACACACTACAGTGTTCCAGCTACAGAGAACAAAGTTTACCATTGGTAATGGTAAGCAACAGGGGATGGTGGTCACTAGTTCGTCGAGCGCGCGTAGGAGGCTAGCCGAGACAAGTTACTTTCAAAAGAAAAGCCATAGCTTCGAGTCTAGTCATTCGGGACGAGTGGGACGAAAACGTTAGTGGCACAAAGGTAACAATGCAGACAACGAAAGGTAACAATGCAGACAACGTACAGTGTGGTACATTAGTTCGCAGACGGACGGCAGACGGCGCGTCGCTGCTCGGAACACAACAATCGACGCCAATAAGTACAGACAACGGGAGTGGGGAGGGCAACGCCAAGGGGGGGGGGGGGGGGGGGGAGGAGAGAAGGGGGTAAAAAATCGTACGGCAGGCGAGAGTACGCCAGCAGCGACGCGGCCGAAAGGAAAATCTGCGACGAGGGAAAGGGTGTGTTAACGCGGTCGCGGGGGGGAGAGTGTGGCAGCACGAGGCAACAGCAAAGCGCGCGGTGGGGGTTGGAAGCGGCGGACTTCCGTGAGGCAAAATCAAGGCCGGCGGGATATTCTGGGCGCTGGGGGTCTACGAACTCGGCCGGCTCAGATAGGCGCAGACCTTGAAAAGCGCCGCGCAGCGGACGGACGCCCAAGTTCGCGCCGAGTGCGCGCGGAGGAGCACAATGTCGTCTGCTATCGCGCGCGCGCATGTGTGGAAAACTATCTCCCAAGTTTTAATCCAAACAAAGGAATGGGGGACCTCGCGGGGAAAGGGTACGGTTTAGGCGTTTTTCAGCGAAGACTTCTAAAAAGCACTAAAAAGAAGGTAAAATCATCTTCGGGAACAAACTGTTAGCCACGACGCGGACGTCGTCGGGCTGCCAGTTTACGCGGTGTGAACGTTCGCCCATGCCAGGTATGGGAACCGCGCCTGCGCAGATTCACGTAAGGTGAAGCGCCGTGCTGACATCAGCGCCACCGCAGCCCCATGACGTCAGAGTCATGCGCCGGTCGGTAGACAAATGACAGCCCGAGAAAAAAGGAATTTCACATGTCCCGCTTCCAGCGCGAGCTTTCCACCTTCGGCGGTGCTTCGGCGTCCCATAGGCCTCGAGTGCGCACGCGCAGCCCACGCACGGCAGAAGGCGGCGAGAGAGTGCTGGTGGCATCCCCATGAAAACGCCTTGGCCTTCTCAACCTGTTTGCGTTTTCAACCTTGCAACCGCACGCTGCTGATTGTATGATTTCCGCTAGATGACCATTTGTCCGTCGAGACTAAGGTATGGGTCAATACCACGTCCGCAGAAAGGCGTACACCCAACCCCCCGAAACGTCATCACTGGTGGATTGGCGCTCTTGCAG